TTTCAATCCTGGTGTCAGCAAAAAGTCCATAAAGGGTTGCCAGAACATTGCAACAAAATGTCTTATTTTAACCTTGATCAAATAAACCAACTTTATATTCCTTCCCCTTACTTCTATTTTTAATTCAATCAAATATTGTCATAAGATTTGATTTCTCTTCAATCCTTCTTTATCCCATTGCAGAGATTTCTTCAAGGTTTTAACAAGCCTCTTTTGTAGATCCAATAAGAAAACATTTTCCAGGTATCCCATTGCAGAGATTTCTTCAAGGTTTTAACAAGCCTCTTTTGTAGATCCAATAAGAAAACATTTTCCAGGTCATTCTCTTGGTTTATCATTTGTATTTCCCTTTTAATTTTAAAACTTCAGCCAGATTCTTTAGTATATCCAGTAAAGCATCCTTTTCCAAATCATTCTCTTGGCCTGGCATTTGTAGTTCCACTTTTGGTACTTTCTCTGTCAGATAAAATTTGTTTCACAACTTTCATTTCTTCATTGACATCTTTTAGAAATAGTCTATCCATAGAGGCAGACATCATTACTGACAATGTTGATATTGTAGTTACTAATGTCTGGCTCCATTCTTCAAAGATCTCTTTTAATATTTCCAAAGTTATAACATTTTGTATCATTCTGTAAGTCCCAGTATTAAATGTCATCAGGCTTTGTATTTTTTTTTCTTCTGCTTAAAATCTTTAGTTCCCTCTAGTACCCAGTTTCTCAAATCATCACTTATCTTTTGTTATGACTTTCAATTGCCAGGATAACCAACGTAAGTCTGTTTCCCATGAGAAGTTGTTTATTTTTTATAGTTAATTCCACAATCTTATAGTAGAAGTCAATATTCCAAATTTATCAGGACTCTTAATCCATTTATAACTGATTTTTTAGATCAAAATGTTATTTAGCTTTTTGCTGTTAATTTCAAATTCTTTAAGTTCTTAAGCTTGTAATTAATTTTTCTTTTGTTCAGAGTTGGACATAAACTCATTGAAGACTTTTCAAGCCTGTCATTCCAAAGGTCTCTAATATCTTTAGAATACTTAATAGGGAATTTCCAAATTTAGTTTCTAGTTTAGAAAGTGAGATTTGCGAACGTAGTGTCCTTTAAAAGTCTCTGCCATGATTGAGAGCAAGATGGTTGACCCTGTCACCTCCTAGCACTCAGACCCGTGGAAAACCACTGTCCTGTGGTCTCCTCCCAAGGAGCAGCTGTCTGGAGCACATGTAAGTAATCTCTTGCTTCTCCTTATCCAGAGAGATTCCAGGGAATCAGTCTACTCACCAGTTCCTTGGTCTTTGCTGTAGTCGTCAGCTCTGCTTTTGCAGAGCCATCTTCAGTTCGCCATACCTGCCCCAGAAGTCCTTGTTTTCCCTCCTTTACCAAGGAAAATTTATTAAGGAGAAAAAGAAAAAATAACAACCCAATGCCTTTTTACTTGCAATGTCAGGAGGCCTCAGCTTGCATGACCAGACTGGTGAATACTGATATGGAAGCACCCAAATAAACAACACCCATCAGGAGGTAATTTTAATATAGCTGATCTTACTTGGGGGTAAATGATATGTTACATATGCATGTGTACAACAGATGCAGAAGAATGGTGGTGGAATGGGAAGATGTATTTTACTTTTTCCCTGCTAGTCATTAGCAATGCTATTCCTTCAACGGCTTGCTCCTAAAAAAGAAATAGATACTGCACACAAATTTTACAAAATTGCCTGAGAACATATCATTCTATATTTGTGTGATACCTTCACTTTTATTTATAAAAAAAATATGATGGCCGAAATGCTACGGAAGTATAATAAAGACAAATTTCTCTCCTTGCCGCCTTCTTAGTTTATCTTTCTGCCCTTATTTCTCCATACGTGTCTGCTGATGGCCTTTTATCCCTTAAGTTAGGAGTAGACAATCCATGAATAGCTTAGAGTCACACCTCAACCTCCCTCTCTTAGGGAGGGCTTCAGGAATGAATCCAATGTCACAATGTTTTTCTGAAAATTTTCAGCGGGAGGTGTTAGGGTCAAAATGGGAGCTGGAGGCCTTTGGAGCCAAAACTCTGCCCTTCCCATACTTGAGCACCCCATACCCCCAAATGGCCTGAAATAATACTGCTAAAGTCCAGCCATTTTGCTACCAAATTTCAGTCATAATCCATCCTTTTCTGCCTGTGGCTTAATCCTTTAATCCTCACCCCTACTTGGAAAGGAACTTCAACTTCCATTATCAGCATGCATTAGTTTTCATTCTGTATTCCTACAGATTGTCTAATTCCTACCCTCTTTTTTGTTGTCTCCTACTATGAACATTTAGCTGTGGGAGCAAAGGGAGAGGGAATGCTTCTTTTCGTAAAGTTACTTCCGAGAGTAGTGGCCTGAAGTTGTTTTGGCCTACATCCATCATAAAAGGAGTTCTAATCTCCATCTGATCAAATATACATGGAGGGGCTCAGCTTGTGCAAAACTGCAAGAAACTAAAGCACTAACAGTACTTCTGACAGGAAATCATGAGTATTTGAGGAGGAACGTAAAGCCTAAATTCTGATAAGCAAGCATATTTTTCCTTCATGATGTCTACTGATTTCTATTTTTTTCTGTGAATTTCCCTGAAAGATGTGACATCTTTTTTCAGATTTCTCACCAGTTCAGGCAAAGGAAGCAAATACTTTATCAACTTACATGGAAGATTCTGTGAGGAAGAGAATAAAGGAAGTTCAGGCTCCTGTCATTAGTAGCACAATTTTCCCAGTTGATGATGTTGAAGTTTCCTGACTATAATCTGCTTTTATTGTGTATTTTTTGTTTGTCATAGGACTTTGGTTGAGTTTAATTTTTGTTTTAATGTTTGCATCAGCTATGGCTATTTGTACACCTGCTTGAAAATCACAAGATCAGTAGAAAAATGTTGGTATCCAAACGTGATGACCAGATATCATTGTATTCTGGGGAATTCCCTCATCCAGCCCCCCCTCCAGTGTTACAGCTCAGCCCTTCCTGTCCTCTACTGAAGAGATTTTGAGTGAAATCCCAGGAGCTCCTTGGCCAAAGGGATGACCCACCTTTCCAATGACATCATTCCGGCTCAGCTTGTCCTTATCCATGACAGTAATGATTATGGTTGTCTCCCTCAGCTTCTCTGTGGGGATGTCGAAGATGAAGGATTCATTGAACACCGGGTTCAGGCATCGCTTCATCACTACTGTCTTCTTCTTTTCCACCCGCTTATCTTTGTACATCAGCCAGACCTTCACATAGGGATCTGGTGCAAGAAAAATGGACATGATTGCCAGCATTTAACTGAGGAGACAGAGGAAACTATAGAGGGAGCAAGAATTAATATGCCACTACTTAGGCATCACTCTTACTTGAAGCTGCTAACAATAATTTGAAATTATTTAAATTTGAAATTAGAAGGTTCAGATTTATTTATACAGAAAGGTCCAATTGTAAATTTAACCTCGATATAGGAAAATGAATGGATGCTCATTCCATATGCATCCCACATTCCAACTTGGCTCATACTGAAGGTTATTAAGGCTATGCACCACTAGGATTCAATCCTAAAAAGGTGCTTTGGAGCCTTTAGGGGCATGAGTGTAGTATTTGTCTGCAATTCCTTAAGGCAGCCATGCCCTTTCCAAGCACAGTCATACAATCTCAGAAAAGGCACAGCTACTTTAAAGAGTTGCAAAAAAGTGATATGTTCAACCTCCTGAATACTCTGAACCATTTTTTAAAAATCAAATCTGAAATACTGCATAGCAATAGAAGGTATAATGGCTGGTGTGGGTCTTCCGGGCTGTGTGGCCGTGTTCTTGAAGTTTTGTTTCCTAA